CGTGTGTTTAGTAAAATTTACTTGTGAACTGGAGCAGTTACGTCGCTATCCACCTCCTCCTCGAACGAAGCCTTCGGAAATGTGGGATTTCGTTCGTTGTAGTCGTGTCTTGCCCATCGTATCCCTCAGCTACTAAAATTTTTGCCTTCTACTCTTGTCGACGAATGCAGTAATTCGAAATAGGACTGGATCGATGTTAGTATATCGTGAAATCACTTAAGTATTACAAGCCGATTTCAGCTGTAACGTATGGCAAATAAGGACGTTTATAGGTTGTGCAGATGTCCACAACTCACGGCATTTCGAAATATTTTCCAATACCTTTATGTCGCGATTTCACCAAACGTTTTTGTAATCGGTTGTCATCACGCGTTCGGCAGAAAAACCATCATGTCCGCGCCTTGGCGTTTTCCGCCTCTCAGGTTTTACACAGAGCGTCCTTCTGCTACAGAGGGTAAATGCATGATTTCACTAAAACGCGTTCTACACAGATCTTAGAGATCTATGTGTAAAGTAGATATCTTATCGATCACAAGTTCATGTGGATATGCTACTTAATCAACAGTGGTGGTACACTTATTTACCAATTTACTAAGCTCTTTATATCCTCTGCTCAAACTTTAGAAGTACATAATGATTCTTTTCTGTTTTAGCCGAGGACATTCACCGGTTGGGTGTTCGTGATGTGGACGATGACACGGAATCCGACATCTAGATTATGTTATGCCTACTAACTCATGATAATTACATTTTTAACTGTTGTTTGATTGCGTCAGCATTCACCACAACCCACAGTTTACTGTAATTATGTTAACTCAAGTCAAATTGTTGACTTACAACTTAAAGCACTTGCTTAGTGCTAACGTCCAGTTTCTCTTTTATCATTTTATAAATACATCGACAACGTCATTCGGGTATATTCATGCAGTTTTGTGATGTAGTTTAATTGTTATTTATGGTATTAGACCGTGGATTTGATGGCTACTTTCTTGATTACTCTAACTTATGGGTTTGGCATACTTGGAATTGTGCGCACAACACGCTTGCTGTATGTAGCTCTTCATGGTTAAATATGGATTTCCGGATGCGGTTGAAACCTTTCTAACGAAATGTAAAATTTATTTTTTTTATGAGACACTAAGGCTCTTACTTGGGTACTAATTCGTCATTGGAAGGGACTTGGCTGTCAAATGGCGGTAAAACTTGGGCAAGGGGAGGATTCGAGTTTTAAGTAGATCGGATGCTTCTCTAACTTGGATCATATTTTTCACAGTATAATTTGTTTCTTTAAATGGGAGCTTGCATTTTAACCAGAAGTCCATATAAGGTAAAATGTGAGCAAAATGACCAAATAAGCATTTATGAATTTTTCCTGTTCTCTTATTTACCTTTAATGCCTAAATTTATTTCAACATCATATAGAAATAACATCAAGAAATTAAATGCTTATGTCCTATCGACAAAAGTTCACATTTTTTTCCAAAAGTGCGTTCAGGTCCACGCATACAAGGCAAAATTCGCAGTTGCTGAAATCTTCAACTTCTACTTGTATTTTTAAAAAATAACGTGATTTTTTTTAAATTCATGAATTATAAGACAAATGCCGTTTACAACTTACATGAAGGACCACGAAAAATAGCTCAATATACCATTTATTGATTCGGTTAGTTCCAAACATTGCGCACTAATGCTACGCCTAAGTGATATAGGTAAATAATTTCATTTCGGCCCTGTCAAGATTTCGCAGGGTTCCACAAATTTTTCCGGTTGAGCTAGCATGTTTTAAGATGTGGACATAAATATCGCGCCTAAGTTATTTACTGGCAAGCTCTCTGCGTCAAAGCATTATAGACTAGATGCGATTTGCACAATCAACAACAATGATCAATATTTAGTGTCCAAGTAAAGTAATGGTTTATCATTTCAACTTTGATTTAGAGTCAATATTTTAATTTATAAACATGGTTTTTTTGTTATGCAGCATGCATTCATTGTATATAATGTTGTCAACTTTTGAAAATCTAGAAATGAACACAGGACAGTATTTAACATTGGCCATGCTATTTGAGGTTGAATAAATCGAATGTTAGAAATCTTCAATTACCAAAGTCGGTTCAGTTGGACTTCATTTACAATTAATTGTTTCTTAGTCTTCCATCGATTAATTGACATTCATTGGCAATACAAAGCAACAAGCTTTGACAAAAGATAGTGGGTAATCATAATTCCTTTAATTTGCTAGCAAAAACTTTAAAGTTTAATTTTGTAACCTGGAAAATTGGTTCTAAATATATAAACCAAAATAAAACTACGTTCCCGAAACAAAAAATTATTAGGCTTTTGAACGTCGTAGGAAAGTTGTCAGTAGTGTAGTTTTCCAATAGAAGTCTTGTTCGCAGTAATCACTCTGACTCAAAATGCTGCTACGATTGTGTGCAAAATATCGATGCAAATTAAAATAATCAAAAAGATAAAAAAATAAGCAAACATCTGCAAATAAATAGCTTTTAGTACTAACTCTACCTCGGGAAGGTCGTCTTTGTTAAGTTGGAGTGCATTGATTTGTCAAATAACTAAAGTATTCGAAAAAGACGCGGAAAAGGCTGATGTCTTCGTTTCAATAGAATGTGTACTTAATACGAAAATTGAACACAAAAATATGACTCACAACCAGGATGACTTATCTTGTTTATTAGTTGAATATAAAGAACTGGAACGCATGTTTGTCAAATCTTTATACCATGCATTTAATAAAATTTGTAGTGGAAAACGCCTGTACAGGGATTTGATTCCCTCTAATTTGTTTAAGGGGGTGTATGTAAGAAAGAGCACGGAATCCCTTGTAGAATTCTATAATGACCTACGCATTCAGCTTATTGATGACGGTATGGTATGGACTTAACTATTTTAATTCCTCTAGGTCGAAAAATATTCCAAAATTTAACTGACATTAAAAAAGCAGTCGCCGACTGTCATTCATCTTTTGCTGAACAGAATGACTGTAGTAATTTGCTAACCTTGATTAAACTTTTAGAATTTAGTGTGTTGAAGGAAATGCTGATGAAAATCGAACTGGCCTTCTCTGAATACCGCGAACATGAACAAGAAAAGTTGGTTTTTTAAATATTAGTTGTATCGTTTTCAATGGTGACAGATGCATTTACTAAATATTTAGGCTAATCTTTGTTGTGTTGTCTTATTTTCCCACCCTCTTGGATGAAGTGCACATCTTCATTACTTTTAAGATGTCACCTCTTGTCTATTAGTTGGAAAGGCTGTGTGGGCATCTAGGTTACCAAATCAGCATATTTTTCTTATGCTTTCGTTGAGTCCAACATGAAATTAGTCTGTTTTTTCTGCAATACATAAGTGTAGATAATACTGATAGCATGCAGTAATCCACAAATTTGCCTTTGAAACTCAAAAATTATGCATTAAACCGGACATTTATCTTTTCTGTGCAAATACAAACGAATTGTGCAAAAAATGCTTAGCACGTTGTGCAACCTTGGTGTGACTTTTTCTGTTACTGAAGGGTCCATAAATGGAGGCATGATAAAATGCTACCAAACTTAGCAAGTCAGTAGCCAGTTGACTTAAATACATGCTTTGATAAGTGTTATTCTAATGCTACTGGAGGTGTAGCCAAATATGGCATGTCATTTCTTCGTTAATTGTGCTAATCCTGTCAAAGTCAGCTCAACTTTTAAACTTGAAACCTTTTGATCTTTCTTGAAATTCAAATTAACGACGCATGTAAGGTCAGCTGCCAGGGTTCAACCCAAGTAAAATTGAGATTCCTGAAATTTATGCAGTAATTAGTACTTTATCGTAACAGCACATAGATGAATTTTACACGAAGGCAACTTATCATCCACCAATATGATAAAACGTTTTGATGAGGAAAAATGCATTCAGAAATGTAAAACAGCAAACTGCTCAAAAGAACTTGCAAGGGTTCGCGAAGTCATTGTGTTCCGTTGCATTTGCCCTGCGTAAGAATATAAACCTCGCAACTTTTGGAATCTACAAGCGTATCTGTGACGTGCTAATGACCTAATTTGTCTGTATAACACAGGTCTATATCTGTCACAGCTGCATGGGTATTGCAAATAGGTTGTGCATAAATATAGCTAGTTAAAATATCAGACGTAATTATGAGGCTACTAAAATGAATTGCGTCAGGAAACAAGTGCCTTATTCTCTGATATTCAAATCTGCACTTTTGTTTGCTAAATATCCCTTTAAGTACCCACGTCATGTCCTTTCTTCATCACAATTAATCATTTCTAGGCGCACCTAATGAAACTCAAACACAGCCATATTTGTGAAATATTATTTTGGACCTCAATTCTAGTTGGTGCTTTAAATTGTCCGCTTAGGATACCTGAGCTTAAATTCTACACGGCCTTGAGTCAAATGAAATTCTCCGATTAATAATATCAGTTTTTTGTCTAATTGGTCGTTCTGATTTAATGCAACTAAGATTACAGAGTCACCCAAACTTCTGTTCACGCAGGATAGAATCTTTTCCCTAGCCTGTGGCTACGTGCAATAAATGCCGTAAGTAATATATTAAACTATTTAAAGCTGTGTTGCACGATTTAGTGAGCTTGGCATGTATTGCTGATGGCTCTTGAAAAGGAATTACATATTAACGAGTAGGATGATTGCGCTAATGACATTTCGTGTGAGCAAATTGCTATGTTTGAGTCAGCCAGTGGATTCGAGATCCTTACTTTTTCCAGTTTTGACGTTTTCACCCACTAGAGTATTTTGTTCTTTTCTTTGTCAACTTAGAATGGAGGAATTAGCTAAATTGGAATCAACCTTGTGGCAGGAATGTTCAATTTTGGCGGAAAAGATCAGCGTACTGGAGCACTCCTCTCCACAGCAGCTGCCTCAGGGAGTTATTCGACCCTGCCATCCACCAGTCAAGTTGGCTTTGGCAGATAGCGTCCTACCCGAGGTTGCTGCCTTTCAGGTAATTTCTCGACTTCTACATTTGCCCCCTATGCGCTCCAACGTATTCCATTATTTCCAACTACGCGTGCTTCCAGGAATATCTAACAAACAGCGGTGGTCGCACCGGTGGATGGAAGGACTTCAGCCACCAGACCTTCCTCAAAATTCGTCGACGATATGTCCGGCAAAATTCTACCACTTCAGACGAGAAATCAGATAACACGGTTTCTGAGGATGTGAGGGAACAATTTTACCACGAGGTCATGTCGACTCTAGGCCTCAAGTCGATAGGGGTGGTGGCCAGTCACGAGGAATGGTTTACAAAACTTGCCCAATTGGAGGCAGCTAGTAAACGCGCCCTGAGAGATCGTAGATTACGACAGGTACTGTGATATTCTTGTGTTACCTCTACCAACCTGCCACTTAAATCATTTCTAAGTAGTCTGTCTATTTTGCATTAGGCAGAGACACAGTCAGCGAGGCGGTCGTCTTGTGGAGGAGATGCTTCGCCCAAACCACGGCTTAAGTCAGCTCCACCAACCAATCGACAGCAGCAACGAGCCTTGTTGGATGCCTGGCGAGAGGCGAGAGAGCGCGAGGCGGCGCATAAATTGGAAGAAGAGCGTAGAGCCAAAGACGAAGAGCAGCGCCTCGTGGCGAGGCGAAGGAGCAAGCGCAATGTTAGGTTCTTTGACTGTATTGAGTTAGTTATTAGGCACCCCTCCCCTTCCTCAGCCGCATCTTTTCTTCTGCGCAGGAGGCATTGAAGGCCAAGCTGGCGCGTTTTCGTCAGAAGCGAGAACAGGCTATGTCTTCAGCAAGACTGGCTCAAAACGAGACATTTTGCTACGATTTCCAACAGGCTACAAAGCCCTGTCTTTCGCAGGTGGATAAGGACAGAATTCGTGAAAGGGTAGTTACCGTCTTCCTCGGAGTTAAACAGCAAGAAATGCACATATTCCTTGATAATGCGACCATCACAAAGCGAACAATAAGTTTATTATGGGGATTTAACTAGCAATGATTATTTATCTGAGTGCTGGTGTGCGTAAATAACGTTATTTTTTGAAGAAAAATGGACAGATTGGTGGTAAATAGCTAAGTTTATCAATTTTGCGGAAAATCACCTCTACAATTGGAGATCGCCACGTGATGCAGATTTGTTAAGTTAAAACAGGGCAATTTGTTCTATCTAGACAAATCACTTGCTGCAAGTAAAAATGGAACGCAAAGCCGCAAAATCGCGAGCCCAGGAGGAACAGGAGATGCGCATCACTCGCACAACTTCCATGGTGAGCTTTTTTTCCCCTTATTTTATTAGTTGATCATTTAACCAACTGCCAGCCAATCAGTGACCAGCTCGCAGACACCACTGGCACGATTCGACCACGTCATTTGCCAACTTAGCTCCTGCGGCTGGTATCATGTTGAAAGGGCAGTTAGGCAAGACTTAAGTAGTAAATGCGCCGAGCGAAAATACATGAAATTGTGTGGGTTGATAGAGACGGTTGTTTTAGCGTCATTTTCGCATTTGGTTTGTGCGCGTTATCGACAATCTTGCTCAGGAAGCGAGAGCGAAGACCACGCCATTGAGCGTCTGGCGTCTTAACCCGCATTTAATGTCTGCGTGTTTCAAACCTGTGGGCTTCGTGCGTGCAATTTATCTAACTGCAACACGCGTAGCACGCCTTTCACAAGGTGCTTAATGAAACTTGATTCAAATATGGCACAATTCCCAAGCAGTGGTAATTTCTATCTCCCACAGTTAGCGGTTCAAGTGGAACGCGATCCACACCGAGCCACTGGTCCTACGGAAATTTGGAAGATTCGAATTCAAGCATTGGAGGACGAAAAGAAGAAACCATCATCGAAGCCGATCGTAGCCGCGGTGGCTTCAAATAGACGCCAGAGGGCTATTCCGGAGTGGAGAAGGCGAGTTTCTCTAGTCTGACAGAGACTACTTAAATCCCAGGTGAGTAGGCCGGTGCGACGAGATTTCGCACCATTTCTAATTCATCACACCGTTGAAATCTGCCTTTCCGGCTTCCTCAAATTACCTTCTAGGGACTAGGTCAAACCGACTTAGCTCAACAGCCCTAATCACATGTTGAATTAACAAGCCTCGGGTCAACTGTTTTCGTGATGATCAGGTCAATTAAAGCAGAACACCGAGGGGTCTTCCATAGGCGAAAAAAGTTGATCGAATTTATCTGCTTTAATAGCACAATTTGTTTCCTTTTATTTCAGGTTTCATTCGCCTAGCGTCGACCTCTCTCAGAATATGAAATTACTGATTTTTGACTTAAATTGCAATACATCCTCTCCCTGCATAACCTGACCACCAGGCCACAAGGCAGGCCCATGTTGATTTCATCTTACCAAACTGCCTTAAGTGCTTTCACCTCACCTCTACAAAATCATTGTCTGTATATGGAGCTTCCTTCAAATGCCTTTCACCGCTACCAGAGCGTAGCGTAATTAAAATGCATAAGAGACTTGTCGGTGTTTATGTTAGTAATTAAGACAGTTTTCATACGCGGTGCCGGTAATTGCATTCTTTGGCGTCTCTTAACACGCTAGGGCGGAAAAGCGTGGAACCCACTTTCGTCGTTTCATGTCACAATATTTATGCGCTTTTTTTTATTTTGTGGTACCTTTGGTACCTATTGACGCAGATACCTTTGTGTTGTCACCTCAAAGTCGCGATGTTAGGCAGCCGCAATTTGTTTAAACTCAGCGCGCACGCGTCCTACTCTAGGTCACGTGGCCGTCTCGACTGCAGCCGGAAAAACGAGACAATACTTTCCAGGGCTTTAGGGTAAATTCGTTTAATTCATGCTTAGTTGGTGACAACATCGCTCGGAAGTCAGGATTCCAAACGCGTGTTATCGATTTACCACTGATTCCGGCATCATGTCATGTCAGGACAGCGATCTGCGTGGAGATGCCTTGAATCTTTTACATCTTTAAAACCACGATAAAAACAAGATTTTGGCAAAAACGTTATGCTCCACAGCAAAAAACGAGTGCCTGAATATCGGCCCGGGTGTAGAAACGTAATTTTTGCCAAACTACCTCCACGATGGGCAGTGCTGCTTACCAAATCTAAAAAACCGGCGTCTCCGTCAAAATCATGCGGATTTTGGCATGCATTATGGGCCAAAACAGGTCATCGCTGTAAGTGGTTTAAAGTGAGTAATAGCAGGGCTCCAGGACTAATTACGTAATCACCACCTACACAAGTGGAATCTCATTCGAGGTTGCGCTAACTTTAGGTGGCACAAGGAATGAGTCGATATTTCAGTGATCTGAGAACTCAAGCTCATTTTGCTTGTGGCACACGCAAATGACTAGTTCAACACAGACAACGGCAGATCCAACCACCACAGTGCTGCAAGCAACAACAAGCATTCAAGGTCTTCTTGTGCGAAGATTGATGAGGTCATCTATACGTTGAATGCTGCTAGATCGATAAACCCATGACCGCTCTAGCTGCACAAACAATCCAATCACCTCAACAACAAACAAACCCAAGTAGATAATACATAGAAAGCATGTGATGTGTGATGTATTCACTCGTGTCTTAACTAGAACGCGTTGTACGCCACCTCCTGGATAGAATGGTGATGAAGCAGCTGATGCATGCTAATACCGGAGGCGAGCGGAGACCAGAGAAACAACAAGGGGCCGTGGAGGAGGGGCGAGGGGTCAGAATAGCGGGATTCGTGTTTTTCTTGGATGCCAAGACCTTGACTGCGTCATGTGGATCGAACACGCAGACTAGGGGTTGAGTGTTGGAGGGAAGACGGACAGGACCATTGAAGAGGGAGGCACAAGAGCACTTCTACGCAGAATAGGGACGGTGAGCTGCAAAACCGCCACGTATTGGGGGGATTCATGTACAGGAGTGGAGAGCAGGAAGGAAGGCAGGCAGGCACGGGGGTGGGGTGCGGTGGGGTGAGGGGCTTCACTGGGACGTGTAGACTTTGCAGACGGCGTCGGCACCCCCACTGGCAGCGAATGGCAGCGTGGGGTGCATGGCCACGGCGTGGACGGACTCATTGTTCTTCACTCGGTGACAGGTCATCTCCTGAACGCATGTTCGCGTCTCGAGGTCCCACAGACGGATAGAGCAATCGTGACCTGGAAAGATGTCAATTTCGCGGTTGACGCATGATAACATATCCCAAATTCCATAAAAGTTAGCGCCCCATATGTACGGAAATATTTAAAGGAGTTTATTAGTGATACAAAACAAAATTAACCATTCCCAATGCTAGAGGCCTATATGGCCAATAGGTATTGTGGAACACCTATTAACTGATGCTAACGAATCCCAAGTGCAGCGAATGCATTCGCCTCCTGGAGTAAAATCGGATTTTCGAACCCAAAAGCTCGATAACGGATAGCATTAAGACCATAAATCCAGCTGTTTCTGAGATAAATTGATCATAGAGGATAACCCACTACCAATTGGAGGAGCCCAGAGCCCACAAACCACCACAGTTAGCACAGCTTCGATTTCCCCACTGCGACTCCAGCGACTATCTACGACGCTTGGTTTCACCTATCAAAACAGCAGAACCCCGAGATTAGGCCTTCACGAGTGTCCTCACCAACGCAGAGAAGCGGTCATGTTTCGCAACGCAGTCCCCCAAATAAAGACATCCAAGTGAATCACCGTCACCTCTCGCGCTTCCTTCTTGCCAGCCTCTTCTACACGCGCACCCAATTTAGCATCAGCGCGCACGCGCACGCGCACACATCTCGCAATCACACCAAGTTGGCTGACAGCCAGGAGAGAGCGCGAGAGATAGAGCCCGGATGACACACACACACGCAATGCCACTGCCGCCTACGACACGGCACACAAACACACTGCCGTGTTGTGGCACACAACGGGCCAGCGCACTCGTTGGCATATTCTGTTCACGTTGACGCCTGCCGGGGCCGCTACAGGCAAGGCGTGTCAACTGATATCCCTGCAACAGCGAAATAGGATCAGAAAACGAAAAACGATCGAGCGGTCTCAGAGACGGTAGGTGTACACCTTAGCGCTATTTTTAGAAAGTCAAGCACACATCTGCGCCTAAATTACGTAAGAATCCAGCTTCAACTAAAGTGCAGAGGGCTGCGAAAGCAACCAATGAGGAGGAGGAGGCCTTACTTCCAGTGAGGACGTAAAGATCGTGGGGGTCGACGGTGAGACAGGTGACGGCGTCCAGGTGGGTGACGGTGCTGCCGACACAGCAATTGCTCGACTCGGTGCCGCCGCTACCGCCTTGTCTGGTGATGTCGTAGAACCGAATAACACGATCCTCGTGTCCTGTGATGGCGAGCGAGAACGTCTGGTACACGGTTATGTCGTGGATGCCCCTGGGACCCCAACCAGACGCTGGATGGGTGACTGCGTCTAAAGGCAAAAAAACAAACGCCACTTTTCAATCTGCACACGTCAGTCGAATGGGAGGAGGTGGAGAGGTCGACGCACTGATATCGCCGTTGTCTGGCCGCATGAAGGGGTCGGCGTCGGCGAAATCGGTGTCGTTGGTGACGCCGGAGAATTCCGATGGAGGAGCCACTTTGTTGACCACCTTGCCGGTCTCCACGTCGACGAGGGCGAGCCAACCCGTGGTGGTCCCCACGAGGCACTGGGTGGCGTTCGAGGGGTCCGGCCGGTTGCTGAAGTACGTCACGCTCGTTGGTCGACCGATTGGGGCTTCACCAGCTACACAATGCAGACAGATGGAGGGGTTTAAAGTTAAGCTAATTTGACGTGTCGAGTTCGCTCCTGGTTCATTCGTATCAGCTTAGCTTAACCGGGCCAAACCAAGGCTGTTCTCAGCTAAACGGTCAGACGCAATAACTTCTGTTGCAAAAGTGCGGCCAATCGTGGTAAACTGGAGCAAGGGACTTGCACAAAATTGGGTCTCCGCGCATATGCTAAATGTGTTCAAGCGCAGCAAAATCACCAGCAGCCCTTTCACAATTAAAAAATGCCGAATTCCAAACACCTGATTTGGCAAATTGCCTTAAACGCATGCTAGCTGGATTCAAGTCGAAAGGTCTCAATTTTTTTGCACTAATTAGCCTTACTAGAACGCAAAAATGGAATTGTCTGATACCTATACGAGGGCCCTGGTGTTTACAGATTACAAGCAGTCTAAGGGTTCCGCGTGGATTTTTAATGTGATTTGGAAGATAATAAGTCACCTAACTGATTTGTGCGAAAACGTTCAACTGCTTGGCTTCAAAAAGAGATCCTTCCATGCTGGTAGCTCTAAAATTCACTGAGTTCTTAATTACATGTGTGATTGAAAAGCTGTGATTCTTCAAGTAAACGCACGTACTTTACATCGTTCGTCAAAAAAACTGATTTTGTTTCGTGATTTCGAATCGCCGCTGACGCTTGCCCTCAACTCAGGCTTAAAAGCAGTCGGTAGCGCACTTGCACCACTACGGAATAAATCAGAGCTCACAGAAATCAAGCGGAGACGACAGGCAAAAGAAATGGCGCTCACCAGAGGGCGTAATGAGCTCGTTGAGAAAGACGGTGCGAGACGGAACGATGGGCTCCACGGGGAGCGGCTGCCCAGCGTCCTTGTCGGGAAGGACGTCCGATTGGAGGGGCCAGAAGGTGAGCGCAGTGGCGGTGTCCACAGATGCCAAGAGGGGAAGACTGGGGTGCACCGAGATGGACCAGACAGCGTCGCCCGAGGAATCCGGACCTAGAAGCGAGGAGGAAGCGCAAACCCATCAGGTTTAAGCACGCCCAGATCTTGGCTCGCACAAAATTAATGGGCAACTTAATAGAGACATGTACAGTAAGCATTACCTAATTCCAAGTGTCATCGAGCATAACACAATAACACACAGCATGACTGTTCATTGCGAGTCAACATGGGCATGTGATATGCTAATTAAGACACGCATTGCATGTAAGAGGCATGACAGCGCAATATGCAAACGATCACGGATTGCAATTGTTTACTGTTTCCACAAGACAAACACGACTGCCAAGAGGAGTTAGTTATGTGGCGTCAAATTAAGCACTAAAGAATCTGTGCGCGACTCACGTTTGAGCACAGGGCCACGTTCGTTGACGGACTGTGAGAGGGAGTAGAGATCGATGAGGCCAGTGAAGGGGTCGGAGGAGGGCAGGCGCCAGCCGCGAATGACTCCGTCTAGATCCGACGAGTACACGGAGCTTGCACACTGACCCACTGCGGGCACGGACACGGACAACACTGGACCTCTGTGACCCCGGTAGATGTGTACCGCATCGAGGTCCGCGCCCAAACCGCTGCCTGCAGAAGCCGAGGCTTGATTGCCGTTCTTGGTGTTGTTGGCATTCTGGAATGGACGGCGAAGGAGCTAGTGAAGTTGTAGTACCAAATTTTCGATTTCTCCCTCAGCACGAGTACCTACCACTTTCTCCTGATTAGGCCTCTTACGGAATTGTGGGAAATCGTAGAGGCGCAACGACAAATACGAGTAAACGTGATAAATTGGCTTCAGCTTTAAAAGATGAAATATCAAATGCGCGACATCAGGAACCAGGCATCTTCAAATGGCAGGGCAATGTGGTCAAAAGAACCTTGACAGCATTGCCTAACTACAAAAGTTAGACGGCCCAATAACTCTGAAATAACTCGGTGACAATGACAAACTATCAAGCAGAATCAGGGTGTCTAACGTTCACGCGGCGCCATACGAAAGTGTGGGGGGCAATAAGTTAATTTGTAACAAGAACAAACCATGATTGATTCCACTTTAACAGTGCGTGAATGTTGAATGAATAGTTTGACGTGGAAGGTAAGTCAGCATGAATTACCGGTTTCGGAGACCCGGGACGACGCAAAGTCCACAACATGACTAATCCGTCTTCGCCCCCAGAGAAGAGATACGGCTCGCTGGGATGAAAGGCGATGGAGCGGACCGCGTCGAAGTGGCCTTTTAGGACGTATTTCTTCGTCCAGGGGCGTCGAGCCCCGCCTGGAGTGACTGCTGATGAAGCCTGCTTCTGACTAAAACTCGTCTCGTTGAGCAAGCCACCGACGGGTTCGCACTGATCAGCGTCTACAGCAAGAGAAATTGACATTAAGGCAAACCAGTTAGGCAGGTACAGCGACAATGGTTTGCTATCAATAGATTTTGACTTATTAATTCACAAAGAAGTAGAAGTGCTTGAACATACCTGTGCCATTTTCGGATTCATTTGCAACGGTAAGACTAGCAAGATCACCGAGCCCTGAGCTTGCAGAACCACCTCCTGGATCACTCTGATTGGTTGAATTGAAGGGCATTAAATTGGAGCCGCCAAGAGCACCAGTAGATTCGCCGTCAACGACCTGGTTCGGAGTCTGGGCGCCAGGGGGCCAGACGGTATCGCCTAGTTTTGGAACCCCGTCAGATTCCGCGCATTCTTTTTCCGAAAGAGTATTCAAAAATTCCTAGATTAAATAGCATGTGTCAATTTGCAAGCCATGATACAGATTAATGCCTCTAGATTAGAACTGAGATGGTTATAAAAAAAACGTGACGTCGCATACCACTAAGTTGTTGTCAACACCGGCCTTGCGTCCAAATCTCTTCGGTTGCCCGGTACGGGAGTCGAAGGCTGACAATAGTGACGAAATTGCCTGCAGTACGAAAACGATAAGCTAAGACCTAGATATATTTGAGAAAAATTGCGCTGAGGATCTTTAATACTTTCATCATAGAACAACTTAAAATGTAAGTATGGCACAATAAAATTCACTTAGATAACCAACAAAATTGGTGACAAACGCTGAGCTGTGGAAATATAAGAGTGGTTTGACTTACACTAGGAACAGGTTTGTCGTCATTCCATGGTGCTTCTGCATCTGTAGAAGCCGTCTTTTCCTCGGATTTGGTGGCGTTGTCCAGAAAGTCAAATGTGCGGAGCACAGCCTCCTCTGTCTCAGGCAAGCTCGGTGAGTTGCGACTTGGTGAGCTGCACATATATTAAAAAGGCATTCCTAATACGAAAAAGCGACTTAAAATTGGCAGGTCGATCAGCAACGCACCTTTTCTTTAAACCATTCGTTGCATTTGATTCTAAGAGATCCCCATTGGTTGCACAAAGCAACTGACGGACGCGGCTCTGACGAATAGCGAGCACGGAATCCGTGTACCCAACTTCTTGAAGAAAACTGATCAAAAAACAATAGTTCAATGCACGACTTTGTTGAAGTAGTACACCAGGAAAATATCTGGTGTTCCATTAAAATTTTAAAAGTATTAAATGCATGAAATATTCGAAAACATCACTTACTGTTTTAGTTTTAGGCGACTTTCACGCCACCTAGCATTGCTCTGTAGGGCTTGTTCAGTAAAGCGTGCCAATTGCCGACCGGGATCCATTATGTTTTTATAATCCCTTAAGTTTTCAACGGAGCTGTCAGGACCAGGTTTCGAGTTTTCATCAACTGATTTATCATTGCTAGACTCCACGGATGCTTTCAATTGATGATAGCGAGCGCGCTCCTGTTTAAGTGCATGTTCAAGCATCTTAATACGTCGAACTAAATCCTGCTTAATATTTTCCTGACCACGACGTTCACCTTGCAAAAACGCTATTCTTGCCTAGAAGCATAAGAAGGTTATAGGGGTTTCCTTCTTACTTGAAGTTCGGCGCGTTCCATCTCCCATTGAGATCGCTGTAGCTCTAGACGAGTCCATTCTGATTGAATAAAATGCAGGACGCTCTCGATACTGTACTGTGCATGATTGTCCTTCTGCTCACCACTGGTGTTGATTTCCCCCCGGTCGTAACCACCTATACCTTGCGAAACGTAAACACCAGCTTCCTCCATTCCGTTCGTTCTTAGCGGTGATGAAAACCCGCCATGTTGAAAAGTAATTGACAATTTTAAACAAGAGTCAAGAATACTAAGCAAGAATTTAAGTTCTCTATTTATCTATAAGATATAGACCTTAGTATTTTTATAAAGGAATTAAAAATTATTAGTAGTTAAGTCTACCTTTTGGTGATAACGTTCAAATTTTTACTGATTACTTGATAAATCACTGTCAAATGGCTCTCAAATTTCAATACCCTCTTTAATGGCCTAAAACATGGGCTTAATTGCCATAACAGTAAAATTTTTACGTAATCTGCATGGCTTATGTCCATAATATCATAGAGGATAATGTTCCAAGCTGTTTACTAAAGACGTTCTCATGATTCAGCCAAATATCATTCTCATGAGTTTTCAGAGTGTATGCAAATCGAAGTTCAGTAATAAAACAAATGTAAATCTGTATTTCAAGAGAGAGCAGAAGTTTTCTTTAGACTAATGGCCAGTTTCTGGTTGCTGAATCTTTTAAAATTCTTAGTGTCTGAAAAGTCTCATTATGTCCATTAAAAACCTAATAAATTGCTATATACCACTAAAGAAGCCTTAAGTTTCATTCACTCATCATTGCTGTCTTCAACAATTCAAAACTTTTATTCATTTAAACGGTAACCGGTAAAGCTGTAGCAATCTATAACACTTACAATAATTTGTTTTTTCTGTATGGTCCAGAATAGCAAGTTTCGACTTTATTCGTAGCCATTAATGCCATTGAGGCAATGCAGGTTAGGTGCATTCCTGATACCATTGATCAAGGCATGAATCATGTCGAAAGGTTTTAAATGGTCACGAGAAATAAGTAATAAGCAGAATTTATTGGAGCATAAAATAATCCCGGGAAAAATGACTCTATAATTAGAACGTATTTAAAATGAGGCGGTTGTCATTAAAAGAACTCAAAGCGGTAATTACTAATAGTACAAAATCGTTTCGACAGTTTTGTGCTTGAAGAGGTTATGCACATGGTAACATGTCAACGTATTGCCTCTTAATTAACATTTTCTTAATAGGGATCCTTTAACTTAACACATACCCAAGGAAAGTGTATACTCAACTGCACATATTATGTCTACAAACCAGCACCATTTCGATGGTAAAGAAATGTAGATGACGATACGTAGTACGATAATAAATGCATTGCAGGAAATACTGTAGTGGATTGTCAACAATTTCGTGTGAGCGAAGCTTGCCTACAGGATTATTGATTACAATGACTCATCTCTACTTTTATTGGTTGCTATTATCCTTTGATTGTGGTGTACGAGCGCTGACCCACACAAGACGACACTTGGCTGGCTCCGCGCTTATAATCAGTCGTGTCAACTGTCTCCTGTCCTGCATTTTTTCTTGCCAAATTATGATAACCAAGAAACTACAATACCTATATGCTTTTTATGCATTTAAATCACAGCATTTATGATGATATTCTGGACTGGTTGACCTACAAAACTATTTTTAAACAGACGGCCAAGTGTTGCAAAATTGCATCACTTCAATTTCTTTCGTCGAACATTGTTTTCATTTATCAAATGTCAATTCTTTAAAATACTGGTTTGAATCAATAAAAAACCCTACGTTAAATATAGAGTTCCTAGAATGCTGTTAATTTGTACGTCCAACCACACGCTACAACACGTCGGATGGCTCGTTTTACATCTTCTCCGTAGCCTCCAGTTTAATATTACTGCAAATACCGGATGTAAAGATGTGAAAACAAAGATCTACACAATTTCAGTGAAAACAGAATCTGTTGTGACGTGATTATACTTCCATTCTGAGGTACTTAAAGGCTTCGTGAAAGTATTGACGACCGTTTACGGAAATGGTTGATAAGTACGCTCTCCTTGAAGGCTTTTTGGAAATCTCTGATGGTGCTCACATGAGAGTTAAACGCGTGATGAAGCGTGATGAATTGCGCTTTTGTGTTACTGTCTTTCTGCTTATGATTCTGTGTCCACCTGGGTTTAGTGCATTGCTTCACTGGGTGCTCCAAACTGACGCACCGATTTTGGTTGACTGATATGCTGATTAAAAGGTTTCCTGATTTGTACGCGATGCACCACTGGGCCTACACAAGAGGGACAAGTTTACGAGTTTGAAGCTAATTTCACAGTCTAGTCGATCATAATTTTTAAGAATGCTTTTTCTCACCACTATTAATGTCACTAACATCATGTAATTTAGGGTCTAAATTTTAACTAATTTTATTGTTTTAGAAGCCAGGGATGAGGCTCTGCATTGTTAGCCTACAAATGCATCATAGTAATGAAATGTGATCACCTAAAATATAGTCAATTAAGGCCTTGTGGTTATATTTTGACAAATTATCTTAAGCTAAGCTGTGCCATATTTCGTTATTTCTTGATATTCCTTCACATCACATAATTCACCGAGGTTATGAGAAACACAATGCTACCACGACGCTGCATTTATCCTGCTACAACACAGGCGCCACTAACGTTGTCGTTTTTAAATATGAACTGAATTTAAACACTTAATTCACTTAATATCTCACGCAATTCGTCAAGATTCCTAATTTTCGATTAAAAAAATCCGTCTATGTACAAAATTAAGTGACAGGAAATTCCGCACAAATCCATGACATTACGTGTTAATTGAAGTTAAACTAAAATGGGATGCTGCCATAGGTATTTCAACTTGGCCAAATATTTTTTTTTCAATTTACCACGAATTAAATAGAGTAAATTTGTACACCATTGAAATGGTGCTTTCATTTTTGGATAAGCATTGTGCAGCCTGTAATAACTGGCCGTTCAAACGAACAAAAGTCTTCTTTTGCTTCCATGTTCATGCTTATTTTGAAAGCTTCTGGAGTTCGCTACGCCAAAAATCACCTTCAAAAGACGATTTACACGGTGTTTTGATCTACATTTTGATACGGTTTCCGGCACGCAAATACAAAACCCCGATTACGGATTACCCGAATCCCTCCGAAGCATGCTATCAACCATATACAAGATATGACCTTGGGTTTGAATGCGCCGGCTTACAGAGGCTATTGACGGCCTTGAGTGCAGGTAGGAGTAAAAGTACACTCAAGGTTAAAAAGGCCAATTGCGGGAGGGAGGGTAAAGTCCGATAAAAGTACACAGGTTGATGTGCATGATAATGAGAATACAAAAGTGGAAAAATCTTGACAGCTTTAGTTTTGGGTATCCTTCAAAATTCAAAAATTGCAATTGCTGAATTAATTTTAACCTTTGGATCTCCTACTTTGACTGGGAATTTGACCAGAAACAGGAGTAAATATCCTGTTGTGAACTGAGTTTATGCACACTCCTTAATCCGGTCGCTCCGCCTCCGACACAGGGTTTCCCTTTTCGCAGCATGTCGCCAGCCGCGCGGATCCTCAACTCCCCCTTCATTCACACGAATATCTACCTTGGATTATCCTCACATCTAGGTCTTGATGTTAGCGCATGTATGACTCACACATCCGAGGTATAAATACACACGCTCAAACCCCACACACGCGACACAACGACACCAACGTGGATGAGCTCTTAAGTAAGCGGTTGTGTCCACGTCCTCTCTGGTCTTTTTCTTCTTAGCGGGCATCAGGGAGGCGTAATCGGACCAGGGTTAATTCCGTGGCCCCGGCGTGGTTCAAGACCACATGCTGGGGCCCACAACAAATCTTTTCAGTACTGTTCAGCTTTCATCACTGACAACAAATAAGCCATCTCTTCTGTTATTGCATTTTCCGTTATCGGGCACATTTGTCGATAGCCCCTACTTATTTATTTGAGCTGTGGGTTTGTTTAAACCTTGCGAAAATTGATATCCGTCTTGGATGGGCAGTAAGTGTGGTAAGCCACAGATCTTTGGACACCATGATCACTGCCTCAGCGGCGCCAGATTTGTTGATTTAAAATTTTTTTACACTTTCCCTTTCCACTACAAGGGTTCGGCAAGTGTTCGAGGCAAAAATGCTATATACTGTTTGCATGCACTTAAATTACGTGACATACAGTCAAAAGCCTGGTTCGGAGGTTAGGAAAGTCACGTGGTTTGGGGAGGAGTAAGCCAATGAGATAGTGGCGGTTTATATGAATGGGAAAACAGTGGTGTGCCAGAACGCAGCAATTACGCAACAAGTATGGGGAATAGCTTACATTGAAAGTAGGAACCTTTTTGCAAATTACTACTTTTTCATCAGTGTGCCTGAAAATTAATTCCTCCAACGCTGCTCTATCACCTGGTTACCGCTAGAGGAAGCGAATGCGAGAACTTGTGATTTTCTCAGCCAAAATAATTGCTCCCTTTTGTCAAGCCTAGTGAAAATAAACCTCCACGGCTGCATTAATAAGGCTGTGACAGATTGTGTAAGATACACACCAACCTTGATTGACGTGTTAACAAGTCGACATGAATATTAATAGACACACTAATGAATCTGCGTAGGAGGCAGTCTTATAAGCCTTGCCTGCAGAGTCAAGATAATCCGGGAAAAATCATGAAATGTGAAGATTTTAAGTGACCACAAGGCCAGACTTTCCTTTTTTACATTGTCGATTCACCTAGTCGACCAATGACGTTTAGTAGACATTTGTGAATAAATTTAAACAAACGTGACTTAATTAAGCACTTCACGTTGACGAAAATTAAAAGCTCATCAAAACAAGCAGACAAACAGAGGTCAACTTCAAGTCTTATAAATTTGCTGTGATTTGCGATAGACGATCATGAAAAGTGAAGTCAACAGAATATCCATTATGTCTTTGGTGAATAGGAATCGCAAAAGAAATCTACATATTTCTGAACAAATATGTCAACAGAATGACTTAATGTCGCGTTCCCATTGGTACGTGCTCCCCGTTTTTACAGTGCGGCCTTGAAGTGTCAGCTGTCATGTTCTAACGCCAACGCATCCTCAGGCAGAATATTTGGAAAATAAGGACGTCCAACTGTAGAAATGGTTTCTACCAACGGACATTCCATCCTCCGCCTATCCCTTCGTGACACGTCAACTGACAGGCGCTTCTCGATCGGCTCAGGAGTTGACATATCCGCTGTTCCCTCAACACAGGTAAAAACAGTCCTATAATCCCTTCTGTGTCTTCTTAGCCGTGAATAATTCCAATGATCCTACTTTGGACCACGAAGCCAGTTCCGTTATGTCTTCAACACAGCAGCGGTGACCCACCCAATCATAGGAGTTGACTTTCTCAGACGTCATGGTCTGCTTATCGACCTCAAGAACATGCGTCTAATCGTCTAATCTTGCAAACAACGTCAGCTTTTTCGCAGGTTAAAAAGTTGCAGACGGATAATGGACGTTATTCAGCCTCACTGTGGTAATGCCCCGGCTTTATTAACCCAGTTCACAGACAGAAGTTCGGCACTCGGTCGAGCACAAAATCTTCACAAATGGTAGCCCTGTTAATGCCCGATCCTCACCAGATATTCGACGGCTAAACGAGAGTTTGAACGTATGTTGCAGCTGGGGATAGTCCGACAATCATACAGCGACTGGCCATCAGAGCTATAGGGTTCCCAAAAAGGCGTTATTGGACCTCCATGTTGTGGTTATCGTGCTTTAACCGCAAACACAATAGCTGACTACTACTATAAACCAAACTCTCATGGGTTTTTGTCCAACCTACACGGCAAGTCAACGCTAGATTTAGTGCGAGCCTAGCATCAGATCCCTGTAGAACCATCTGACATTCCAAAGACAGCTATAGCAACACCATTTGCTCTATTCGAATTAGTGAAAATGTGGCCCAAAAGATTTAGCGCTTGATTCGTAAATCAGCGATGTTCTCAAAGGTAGTGAGGATTAAGAGAACTATCTTTAGCACACTCGAGTTGTCTTTAAAAGCATTTACAGATATGCTTTGATTATTAATCGGTCAGGCAGTGTCTTCAGAGTTCCAGAGCTTGAATTCCTAGGACACACCGCCAGCGCCGCTGGTCTAAGGCTTATCAACATTAGGATTAGGGAGGTTCGCGAATTTCCGGAACCAAGGTCAATCAATCGACTTCGGAGTTCCTTGGGAATGATTAATTCCTGCCGTCGACTTTAACCTAACGCAGCTCAGACCATTCTGCTAAAAGGTCGCCCTAAGAAACCAACTATGACGGCCGAGGCACGTAAAGTTTTCACAACCGCAAATGAATCCCTGACAAAGAAAACCAAACTCAGTTACTAATAATCAGACCTTCAATTACCAAGGTGTTCCTTTCAGTAACTCGCGTAGTCTTACAACAAACCGTGAAGAAAACATCACAGACGCTGGGTCCTTTACAGCCAAGTTGAGATATCCAATTAGCGCTTGCATCTCTCTCGTCCTGTCGCATCTCCTCTCCTTTCGTATTCCGTGCTGTGCTGTGCTACAACAGATTACACTACCTTGTAATGCTTCCTGACGAAGGCGATGTGGAGAAATGACAATGGCGAAAACTACGCAAGACGACAGCTTAATCTCAGTGAATATACCAAAGAACTAATTCAAGTCCTCTATCATTTGTCCCGATTCACGAGTTCACCTATGAAATCCATGGGTGTTAGGCAGGAGTTGACCATCAAATAGCCACACCAACTAAGAAACCAAGAATTTTAAGGACCATCTTTAGCTAAAACAGTTGTAGATACGGCTGACACATTTTTAACAGGTATTTATCACCTATTCTCACGAAAAAGGTCATTTTCGGATTAAAACAACCAAAAGGTATAACTAAAACGACATTATAAGGATTAAGAGGTTATGATGGCCGTTATTTACGGTCAAAGACTGATGCTCAGGTCGAGTAACGGTTGTTCCAACTTCAACAGACTAGATGAAATTAACAATACTTACGGTTCATTCTTCATGTAAATCTTTACAACTCGCCCAGATCTCCATTTAAATAAGCTTTTCGTTAGTATAAAGAATAATCTTTCGAAGTCAACTTATTTGTCATCTGACAAACATCGCATTTCTATGATTTAAAAATTAGCCGAATCTACTAATCTAAGCATTCAAGCAACGGGACTTTGGTTCGGGACGAGGTATTATCGTAGATTCCCCGCATAATGAAGTGCATTTGGGAATTGAATTAAGCGAAGTAACTATGATCGCTAGCTAGAACACTCTTTACACGTACTTTTATGGGTGAAACATAATGAGCAAGCGTGTGGCACAAAATGAGAACTACTGCGTAATCCAAATCCGTAGACACGGCACACGCTTCACTCCACGCACGCGAATGCTTGCCGCATTCACGTATCTAACCACCTTCGAATACTGCCAATCTTACCTCGGTCGTAGATAGTGGTTTTGCCTATCAAAGTTGTGTCCAAATTTCCATAATGGATGCAGTTTTTCCTGCTACTATCGAGAAATGTGAGGCAAATTTGAAAATTTTATCCAAACCACTTACACCGGAAATTCGCCGTTTTTTCTGACAAACCATACAACTGAGAAAGTACAACCGGTTTCGCGTAAAATGTTTTTTTTCTGACTGTTAACTGGTCAGTAGGACATCTGCCAGGCCTCGGTCATGCTACAATGTACTCCAGTCGTTTTGACAGCATTTAATCAGCTTAGTAGCCCCGAGAGGTCGACGCACAACGCATGAGTGGCGAATTGAAGCGTTTCTTCTCTTTTTTTTTTAAAACACATACAAACTGGTTTGTGAAGAAGGTTTTAAAATGGAAGCATAAACTTAAATGTCCTCCTGCAAACTCATATCGCAGACATCGACCTCGCTGCAGACATACGAGTCAAATCCACCGGAGGAGGCATCTTCCGGCATGCACCGGTCGAGAACGTAAAAATCGCCGCCCACGTGACCACCTGATTCTGGCTCTGGTTCATCTGCACCGAGAAGCTGTACAGAGTGGATGGATTCGGACGGATCGTAGAACGCCGCCTCGTAGTCACCGTCCATTATCACGTTGTCCACGGCCTCAAATGGAGACTCACGCGGTTCCAGCCTCGCCTCACAATCACTCGACCCAAGCTGAGAGAGCTTTGTCTGAGACGTACAGATCTGGCCATCAACGGCATCATCCATTAAAGTCGTCCATGTTGCAGGTCCGCCTCGTTTTGGTGGCACTGTGGCGTTGGTGTCGAGACAGCACGACGAGTTCTGGTTGTTCTTTCTGCGGACTGGGGAACCCACGTTCCTGGCAAGTCGACCCGAGGTTTCAGGTGGCGAGTTGACTGCTAACTTGCTCGTTGCTTGGGGTAACAAGATTGTTTCGTGTTCATCAGCAGTCTTCAGTTGTGAAGAGTCTGACGCACTAAAAGTCAGGGATCTTTGAATAGGCTTATTCGAGTTCATCTGGTTGATCGATCTCATGGGTTTCGGTGTGATTTTGCCACTTTCACGCGGGATAGGCGTACATCTTAGAGGCGGCACGCTAAATAAGCTCATGGAATGGTAGAAACGCGTATACTGACTCAAGACCGTCTCAAGTTCATTTTCTGTAGCATGTTGGATGAAATGATTGAAGTGGAGTTTATCGACGCCTGCTTCGTTGAGGTGCGGCGATTCATTGCAAATCACAGAGGTCTCGTACCTGTAGATTTTTATGAAGTTTTCCAGCAGGGTGATAAGAAGGCGCCACTTCGACTGCAGATTGTAGTTTGGCGGAAAATCGGGTATCTTAAAGACGCCGTGCGCTACCATCCGCTGGATGTTGGTGTCACCGTCATGGGATCTACAAACCGACTTTATCGCATGCGGTGAGAGTTTGAGAGCAGCCTTCTGAAGAAACCTCAGTATCAGATCCGCCTCATTATCGGCTTTCCTCGAAGCCCCCGTGTCCATGAGTTGGGAGGCGATTCGGTTGCGAATTCGTGACAGGTAAGCACAGAATGCGCTTCGTGCCTGTCGCTGGCTCATCGACTTAATTTTGGCACTATTCAGCAGCGAAGTCACCTCTCGCTTGTAGAGCTGCATTGAGTCGTTGACTGCAGGCGGTGCTTTGGCAGACTTCGCGACTTGAAGCAGCACCTGTGGCAGGACGCGCCTTTCACTGTTGCTTCGCATTCCACATAGACGCGACCGCTCCAGCGTGTGGTCACACCCAGCCAAAAGACAAACACCTCGTACACAAATGGGCAGCGCCCCGAGCTTCCTGTGGTAGAAGGGAAGGCGTGCCAGAGTCTGCGAATAACACGCCACTACGCTCTCCGCTTGTTTTCGTCGCGAACGTGATTTGTCTAGGTCAAATCCCAGAACGATCATCAGAAACTCCGCAAGTGTGCTCGAAGGCAAGCTGTGAATCGGTGGGTAGGTTACGTCATTAGCGTACAGCGGTGGAACATGGACGAGGAGCTTCGTCTCATCGCTCCCACGAGGTCTCAAGGAGGAACAACATTCGTTGCTGGAGGTCACAAGCCCCGTGAATAACCCAACATGGATATTAGGTGGTATGAGATTGGGATGCACCAACGTCACGTCTGTCTCGTTTCTCTTCGACGTCGACTCAAGAGTGTGCAGGTTAGCTTTCTGCATGGCTAAAACAGCCATGGTTGCAGAGGCGTGGACGGCAAAGTTTTCATCTACCCGACGTCCGGTTTTTGTGGTGGAACTGACCCCCAGGGGTGCCTGGTTATTCACCGGGGACACCGAGATCGATAGTCGCCATTGTTGGGGCTGTGACACGGTAGGTTCCGTCGCTCCATTGTTGTACAGTAGACCCGCGTATTGGTCCCAGGTCTCGGAGCACGGAAAAAGTCTCAACCACCCACCGGAGCGCGCAGTCTCCTCCTGAAGCCGGCGAATCAAGCGCTGCTCATTCGGCGTCAAGTCTCTTGTGGAGCTGGCGACCTTCGATTGTACTCTCGTTAACGACGACACTGGCTCCGCATCACTACTGCCAACTGGTCGTAGTTGCCTTCGAGTGTCTGCGAAGAATACAATAAACCGAAAATGTTATCCTTGTTCGGAGTAGCAATGCATTTAAGAACACAACAGGAAGTTTTCTGTCTACTGCAATAGTTTAGTTTAGTTTGCCTGACACCCATTCTATGCCCATAATTAAGGCTGCTTCCAAATTCCATCATTTCGCGGTACTGATGGATAATGTGCGTTACGGATTAGCGTTTTGCAGCTTGCTGCACTAGACTCTACGCATGAAAAACAGCAATAGACGACGAAGAACGCTTACTGAATTTCACTTTGCTCCGCCCAATCACCGCAAGGGAGTACTAGCTCTGATTACATTAAGGTTTGTCACAATGAGCGAGGAATCTGACCAAGGAAATTTGCATTTAAGTACACTTACATTTACCTAAATATATCTTCCTACTCGCATCTGAATAAATTACGCTCGTTCAGTTAGTAAAGTGTAGATTAACAATATTCTCAACTTAGTTTAATGGTGAAGATTTTGCGACATGTGTGACAAATGACCTTCCTAGAACAGGAGCAGATATGCCGGAGAGAGCCCAGTCAGATCCGGGATCACTATTAAACAGAATATTTTCCAATCAACACCGGAATCAATTAATATCGGTAGCCATATTACCAAGCATTGGATGGAGAAGATTCCTTAGAATGACCATTAAGCGCCGTACGTTACATGCCAATTTTGAGGCAAAAGTATCGGGGAAAAAATCTTGCATAATTACGATGAATGACATTCTTGCGGGAGATATTTCCAAAAATGTTCGATCAGTGGATTTTCCGTTAGCTTCAAACGCACAAGGTCCTGTTCATAGATTATCAACTTTTCCATCAGTTAACTGCATATTAGGAGCAACGAAATTTGGTGAAATAACTTTACTACACTACTGCAAAACCTGTCGTCTAGTTAAAAGTTTTGACGGGACAAGCACTTACACGTTGTAACTCTATCTCATATATTTGGATTGGATCGTTTGGATTTGGTGATACAATGAACGTTTTAGGTTCACTTATTTCTGCAGTCTGGTTAATTGGATGAAGAGCGTTATGCGTAAAAAGCATGGTTGAGCTAACTAAATCCATATTTTTAGTTGCATACTTTTGGATGATCGCGGCTGACACTCCTCGGATAAATAGTCGATGGCAGCGACAAAGTAAGTTGGGTGCTTAGGAGAAACAAAGTTTTGTAGGCAGGAAATTCCTCTCTTGTTTCGTTTCGTTGGATCATAGCACACGATACCCGCCAGGTTCAACAAGTCGGAAAGCATATTCGATTTAACCTTGAAGTCCAGTGGCGTATCACAAGCCAGCGATGGAGACAGATTAACCTAAATGGACATTTATCCATTGACTGTACTTCGTAGACAAACTTAGGTAATTAAAATTCAACACAGCTGTGCATTAAAGATTTCGCACCTCAAGTAGCCATGGTCGAAGATTCTCATCAACTATTATATCGAATCCGTATAATTCAAAACAGTTGGACTTTGAGCTCATAAACAGACGACAGGCGTAGTTAATTTGGTCCTCAACAGCAACGAACGCTTTAATAATTATGTCCTCAATACGAAGCATCAAGGCGGCCGTGTCCTTACCTTCACTCCTCAAATACCTGCAAAAAGAAAATGGAGGGAGTAATGACATTTCTCTTTTAACATCAAACTACTAGGATGTACTTGCCTCAATAATGCGCCCAGAGACCATTTGTTCCCAAAATCCTCAATATCTGCGTCATCATTATGAACGAAATGATGATTTTTCTTGTTGACACTGTAGTTTGTCAGGTGCATGCACAAGTTCTTGTAGTGCTTTGTGCCCTTCTGATATCGAACCGTTGCAAAACGTGCTAACCCCTCTTCATAAATGTAGATGAAGAGAGGAGAGTATGACGTTACCGCCACGTAAAGTCGCAAGTCAAATTTGAATCCATCTATCAGTAAGGGGTTCGATACGTATCTAGAAACAATAACCTGGTCTGTGGTGGTCAGAGCATCGGGATTGTTAATGATATGAATTCCTCTGCCCCTTGAGGACGCAACAGGTTTTACTATATATGGTCCATGGCCTTTAGCATAGTCAGTTCTCAAATCTGCGAGTTCGGAAGGCAAAACAAACGTCTTTGGGATTATGTCGAATTGCTGTTCTCCCTTAAGAAGCTGCATTCGTTTGACGTTTTGAGCGAGTCTGTCTTTTCTGGTGAGTTCATAAGATTTTGGAAAGTGATTCACCCTCTGAAAATCATACAAAGACCTGAGTTCAATAGGCTTAACATGGTTGTTCGTCCACATCAAATTGAATTCAGATGACAGGCCGTTAACTTCACAGAAGCCGTGACTTTTCAGTAGACTTCGAAGAAGTCGACATTCTGCCCTGGTTACTTTGAAAGATAAGTTAAAGTTTTCGCTTATAGCTTTTACGCTACTATCCTTACTCATCATGACAGTTGGGGAGAATATCAAAATAGGGGTACGACGATACACACCATTCCATGCAACACCAGATTGTCGAAAGGGAACTGGGGATAATGGAATAAGCCAGGAGGATTCCAGTTTAATGCGCCTCGTAATAGCCCCAAAAAGAAATGACTTCGACTGTACATCAGATTTATTCGACTTTGCTGAACTATATCTTTTTCGCAATTTTGACTGCTGTCTATTAATTCCGAAAGAGTCAATATCCAGAATTTCTTCGGAACTAGTTTCATCCTGATCGGATGACATTTTTGTACAGGCCACCGAACTGCTGCCTTCAAATTCATTAGCTGTATCGTCATCCGCTGATGAGGTCAGGGGTGAATCAGCAATATTATGTGCAAACTTGGTTTCATACACTCTTGGACTTCTTCGAGGCGAATTTAAATAGTTCTCTGCTAATCTTGCAGACATTGGCATTTTGTGTTGGGATCAATCGCAGGTTTATCAATAGCCACATTCTATAACAGCACACATGGCCTTTCCCCAAAATTTCCATGCGACGCGCCATCAATTTCTATAGCGTAGGTCGCTGAATAAAAAGGATATAGATACGGTAAAACGATCAACTCATCGTCTAATTTCAACCTATTAGGAAATTCTACAAGTGCTTACAAGCAATTTTAAATATTTCACATAAGGCGTAATTTCTAAAAAAAAATTGATGCGAAAATGTAATTTTAGTTGACAGGTGCAGTTATAAAGGGACATTTAATATTTTAGAGTATTTTACCTCGAAGAAAATTTGCCAGTGTCATTAACATTAATATCACAACATTTATAGAATTTGTATGCTTACCAGTGAGTTATATCAAGACAGTCCACAATGATTTATTCGTTGTAATGTGTATCTAGTTTTACAGTTCCAGTTTGAGCTTGTGAAGAGAAATCTTACTAAGCATATGCCTTTAAAACATGAGAAAATTAAAATTTTAAAATAAATTAGTACAAAAAAGTTTAAACAATGAAAAAAACATCTGTTTTCTCGTGATTTACTGAGTTAACAATTTGCATGAAATTTTGTCCATTGCAAAAATTGGCGTGATTAATAGTCTTTTGTATGAAATCTACAATCAAAACATAAACGGAATGCAAATTCATTATAAAAACTTAATTTTTCACTTCCAAGTAGTTGACTGGTACAAGTGATTGTTGCGGATCCACGTTTTCCTAAGATTACTCGTCGTTGGCTTCAGGCACAATTTACACTAATTCACTAGCATGGGTTTTATGACGCTTTTTATCAAGTTTAGGTCAAACCTGACCTGAATTAGTTTTTACTTTTGACAACTTACTTTGCATGTGGCTGACGTGATTAAAGGTTTCTACACAAGCTCTTGTCTTGTTCTTGTATTAGCGTGGGTAGGTCAATTCTGGCGTCATCAAGGGATCTGGAACCGTTATTTGAGTAAATTTAGTCTTGGCTACGGGTAAACGTAACAGTAAGAGACAATAAATACTTACACACAAGGAAGTTTGGGCATGCTCGTTGGTCGGACTCCAATTTATGACTTCAAGTTCTCAGCAAAATCACCCTAGTAAAATAATTAGATTTGAACACAACGCTTCTGCATAGATGACACAGCCATACGAATTCTTATATTACGGCATCGCGATAAGGGTGAAATAAACGGGAAAAGTTTGGTTTCAAAGAATGAATGTATCTAAACATTGAGACATGATATCTACAAAAGGCGACTCCTGATTATAAAAGAGGTCTATTGAGGTCAGTGCACAAGTGTGGACATTAAAATATTTGCCCAAACAATAGATTGCCCATTATGATTCGGATAAAAAGAGCTTGATTTATATAAAAGAAACGCGGATTTGTACAGCTCAAAGACCTCATTTGTCATTATACTCTAGTCCCCTTCACTATTGTGTATAAACGTTTCTCGGTTGAAAAGTTCCGGAGAACGTATCTGAAAGCAAACTAATATTTGTGAAGGAAAAAACTGAAATTTTATGTAGTAATCTGTCTAAATGTTTTTTGCAATTCTCTGCATTTATTTTAGTAAAAATATGAACCAATACGGAATATTATTTCGCCTGAGTTTTAATTGGAATGGTGCTCAGGTTATCAGAATTAAGTGAATTTTCCTAGTAATCTTTGTGTTTTTAAAAATACTTTTGAAATTTGTCTTAAGATTGGCTCATATGGTTTACAATAATCTTTTTGCCCCATTTTCTATGCATGATTTAAGTTGACCTTAACTCAACGGAGCCTTTTCAAAAATGTCTGTGTGTAGCGCTGTTCTCGTTGCTTCGGAAATTGGGGGGCAATCAGAGTCTGACAGTGAGCAACTAAGTACACTGGAAAGTGAACTTCGTCGCCTTGATGAGTCACGCTCTTGGAATTTACTCTTTGAGGTACAGATCCTCCACCCACTCACGCGTTTTAGCGAATACAAAATCTGGCCTCTGCTGAGAGTAGCAAATTAAGCCTATCAGTAGCCAATGAGGCAGAAAATAGGTTGAAAAATAGGTATCGGGATATTGTTCCTTGTAAGTGGGTTCTCATTTTTCACTTTTTAGATGATGAAACACGAGTCATACTGGAAAGTGCATTTGCAGGTGACTATATAAACGCAAATTTCGTATCGGTCAAGGATTTTCCCTCAAGGCGCTACATACTGACGCAGGGTCCCCTTCTACAAACGGCAGGCCACTTTTGGCAAATGATTTGGGATCAAAAGTGTCCTGTTATAATTATGCTCAATCGTCACACTGAAAAAGGAACTGTGAAATGTTTTGAGTATTTTCCCGAACATGGTGAAACACTTAACTTCCCTGATGCGGATTTTTCTGTTACGTGTGCTTCTGATTCACCAAAACGAATGTATACGGTCCGTTCTTTGAAACTCACCAACGTCTCCGTAAGTATTACGCAAATATGTTGTGTTTACTGTCCTGTTTGAATCTTCTTTTTTTCTCTTTCATTTAAGGTTGAAGCTACTTGCACTAGGGATTTTAATGCAATGTATTTTTAAAAAAAGTACACTATTTTTCAAGACTACATGTTCTCCTTGGTCGTTAAATCTAGGCTTTCTGATAGAAATTACTGGTAGTACAAATCTACTCTTATCTCGATTGTCCAACTACTTGCAAATCTTCGATTTATCTATATAACAAGACATTGGAATTATCACATTTTTTAATGCTTTTAAAGACCAACGAATCCCGTGAGTTGTTGCATTTCCACTACACCCATTGGCCAGATTTCGGCGTGCCAGACTATTCAGGCAGCATGTTGAACTTCCTGTGGGACATCCGTCGAACCGGTGCTCTCGATTGCCCAGAGCGACCTTGCGTTGTCCACTGCAGCGCTGGTGTTGGTCGATCTGGCACATTTGTGCTGATTGATCTCGCGTTGGCTATGGTAAGTCGCATCTTAAAGGCACCACGTCAAACACTTCCTTGTCACCCCAGGGCTTCTAATGCCCCCTTTATTTACCTTGCTTACTATCCAGATGGACTTTATTGATTGAGATTTGTTCTATAAGCGCTGAGTTCTCAAATGAGCAAATGTAGAGTTGGCTTTAAATTTAAGAGTTCGTCGCAATTTTTTACAGTCCTTGCGAACAATGTGCAATCATTTGACCGCTGAAATTTTGTTTAATCTTCTAATGAGACGTTGAAGAAGAGGGCACAGCATTTCCTTGTCATTGTTTCTCACTTATAAAATCGAGGTTGATATTGCTGCTGTCATAAATCACTATTTTGTGTTGTGATATGTTGTAGGATTAAATTTCATCTGCAGCATCTGTAGTTAACGCCAACTGGGGCCTCACTAAGTGTGCTCCAACGGGGTTCACCTTTTTAACTGCTTTTAAACGTTTTGATAATGGCGATTTGGGAGTTATCTCTTTCGTTGTGGTGGCCTAGCGCAGGTAGTAGCGTCGACATCTGTTGTGCAGCCTCACGACCCGCATAAGCAATGCCTCCGACGATGCTGTTCACCTCGCAACCACACCCTGCTGGGCCCAAATTGCGTGTGAATGTCGATTCATAATAATGCATTAGCAGCGTACCGCGTAGATGTCAATTTTAGCTTACTTTGGAGGCGAACTGCGCACACCTTCGTTCGCGCCTGTCTAGATTCAATTTTAACGTACGGTGTAAAAACGGACGTTTCCAGCGAACTTGACTGCTTTTTTGTATCCGCAACAGCAAGAATTCTATTGAGTTGTACCGAAAACGAATTAATACAGGTGTCGAATGTGACGTGTAACTATTCACCACAAATTTGACCAGATTCATTCTGGTCGACGTCCTAAAGCTGACAGTAGCCGAATCGAAGATATTCCTGGTTTCGGGTCGAGGTCATATTGCTACACGCGAGATTTCGAAGATCTTAAATGCAAGATCTTCTGGCAATATTATGCACTCTGTAAAGCTACTGTCTTGCAACCTCATTTTGGTTCGCTTCAGTGTAAACTTGTCAATTTAGGTTGTTTACAAAAGCCAGACTTTGTTATCGTCCACTGCTGCTTCAATAAATGGATACCATATTATGCTAATAAACTACAGTTACTATGGCAATAGGGTTATGCACATAACTTGTTTTCATTATTGGTTTTTTTTCTTGTCTAACTATTGTTGAAGTCGCGCATTGTTGTCGTTTTCAAGGCTCTTTGCCCCCATCATCCCTATTCGACAAGAACCCACTGACCCGCAAGCAAGTCAAGCCACTGAAAACGCGATTTAGGCTTCTGTGCACCGTCGCAATCTGCCTTAAAACAAGCTAGTTTTCCCCTCTGAACAAGGCCCTCATAGTGCCAGCGTGTGGTCCTAGTTCTTAGCCGAGTGAATGATTGCGATCGAGGTGTTGGTGACTCATTTGGCAAGAACGGTGCAACCCGTGGTATTTCCGTAGACGCACATTCATAGGGAGAAGTAAAGGGTTGCTTGCCATGTGGGAAAGACGTGCAGTTGGCGGTGTAGTTTATCAAGCCTTAGGTGGTTGTCCCGTGCCCCCCCCCCCCCC